AACACCTATACACTCACTTCCTCGAAGGCAAACACGTAGACACCCATTTCCTCGACGGCGAACACCTAAACATCCATTTCCTCGACGGCGAACACCTAGACACTCATTTCCTTGAAGGCAAACACCTAGATACTCACTTCCTCGAAGACGAACACGTAGACACCCACTTCCTCGAAGGCGAACTCCTAGACACTCACTTCCTCGAAATCAAACACGTAGACACTTAACTTTCTCGACGACGTACATATCTCTATATTTCGATATTTCAATTTATATATATATATATATATATATATATATATATATATATACTGGGTGGCTTATTTTAATCGACGCACCCGAATATCTCTGTTGCTAAGCCGAATTAAAAAAAAATGTTTAGACAAAAGTTATTCAGGACAAAGGGGCTCACGTAACTGTAATAACAACTTTGACCTTGGGGTAAATAAATGACCTGAATAAATGACAACTTTGACGACACACGTATATCTCGATGACTGTCGTCAAACTGTACTACACGAACAAATGCTACTTTGACGACATGTATACTTACATTAGACAACACATGCATATTTTAGATGTGTTCTACGTAACGTTTGCAACACTTGCATGCATCATTTCATTTTTTGCTTAATACTTGATGATAACAAGGATAAACTGATGCTCGCAAACATTAAGTAGAACGCACCTTTTAACGACTATCGTCAAATTAGTGAATATATAAAGATGTAATATACGAAAACTTCTGTAAAGTAAATAGACAAAACATTCAACTAGATCCTGCTTACACACACACATTACGTTTTCTGTTAATTTTATCTTATGCGTGGTCTACAATGGCAGTAGCAGTAGTGGATGAGACTGTAGAAGTAAGACTGTAGATCACAGTCGAATGTGAGAAGAATAATCGACCGTGATTGGTCAATTTCTTACTTTTACAGTCTCATTCACTAATGGTCTACAATGGCAGTAGTAGTAGTGACTACTACTGCCATTGTAGACCATGCATTATATGTATATTAATATCCATTTCATGCGGACTATATTAGTATTGTCGTCAAAATAATCAAATTACCGTGTAATGTCGTCAAAGTATACACGTGTCGTCAAAATAAAAATCTTTTCGATTAAATACAGGATGTGTTCCATATTACACATGATGCATTATTTTTCTTTGTTGTTTATCGAATAATGAAATAGGATACCAGAACTAAGCATTTCACGAGATGTCTCCGTGTTGAAATCCATTCTTAGAATGTCAACGTTTTGTAAATCATTTCTATATAGAAATGAAAATAAGCGGAACAACCTCCAATGGCCTTGATCTTGACAAATATTATCCAAGTCATAATCCTAAACAATATTCAAAAGATTTTAGCCATTTGGACACTTTGGGCAATGCTAAATGCCGACGATATTGTAACTTTCAAGCATTATAGCTTAAAAAGTATTTCATGAAAAAATATTTTATTATAGTGTTTTGGAAAGCTCTCTAAATGTAATATAAGAATATGGAATGAAAAACGAGGTGTTCTATTTAAAAAATCGATAAGACCTTGATGTAACCTTGATGACGCCACCTAAGATCAAACTGACGATATCAATAATTTGATTCGGGTCACTTTTCTTGATAGTGTGTACTTTTGAAGATTATAGGGGGTTCCAAGCTTTTCGAATACCCTGTCTATCAGGTGTGAAAATATGAAACCGGAATTTACCATTAGATGGCCATAGCTGTCAATGTAGTTGCTGTCAGACCGCGTCATTGACGCCATTTCCTTGTTCTGACATCTGACAAAGATTTTCAACTCACAACAATACAAGTTTCATACAACAGTATAGTTTTCAATAGCGTTGAAAATGTTGAATTTTGTGCCTGGAAACTACGATTCGCGGACAGCAATTGATTTTCCGTTACCATTTGAAGAAAACTGCTGCAGAATCGCATCGAATGCTTGTCGAAGCTTACGGTGAGCATGCTCTTTGTAAATCACAGTGCTTTTATTGGTTAAAAAAATTTTAAAGTGGCGATTTTGACGTGAGAAACGAAAAACGTGGAAAACCATCGAAATCTGCTGAAACCTGTTAAAACCTGGCGAAATTGTTAATACTGAACGTTATCGACAACAAATGATCAATTTGAGTCAAGCTTTGCGTGAAAAACGACCGGAATATAAAAAAAGCCAAAATAAAGTGATTTTGCTTCATGATAATGCACCATCACACACAGCAAAACAGGTCAAAGAAACGATTGAGACGTTTGATTGGGAAATACTTTCGCATGCCGCTTATTCACCAGACTTGGCTCCGTCCGATTACTACTTATTTGCATCGATGGGACACGCACTTGCTCAGCAGCGCTTCACTTTTTACGAAGATGTACGAAAATGGCTAGATGACTGGTTTGGCTCAAAAGAGCAACAATTTTTTTGACGTGGCATTCACAAATTGTCAACCAGGTGGGAAAAATGTATAGCTAGCGATGGGCAATACTTCGAATAAAATATTTTTTGTCATTTTCATACAATAAACGTGTCTTTTCTATAAAAAAATTCCGGTTTCATATTTACACACCTGATATATTTTCAGAATCGTGAATTCTTTTGAACTCTTAATTCTGATTAGTTAATTCTTAGAGCCCCAACACACACTTTTGCATAACGCATAAACCATATACATAAAGAATTTGATTGGTCCATTGATTCATGCATAAGAAAATGGGCCAATGAAATTCGTTATGCACATGCTTTATGCATTATGCAAAAGTGTGTGTTGGGGCTCTTAAGCGGAGAGCACAGACTTTTGCATAACGCATAAACCATATACATAAAGTATTTGATTGGTCCATTGACTCATGCATAAAAAAATGGACCAATGAAATTCCTTATGCACATGCTTTATGCGTTATGCAAAAGTGTGTGTTGGGGCTCTTAGGGCTGCACAGAATAAAAGGAATAGGGAACAGAGAACAGAGAATAAGAATTTCAACCTATCAGAAATCATGTACTATGGAATACATACTGTTTATTCCACAGTATATGATTTTTAATAGGTTGAAATTCTTATTCTCTGTTCTCTGTTCCCTGTTCCTTTTATTCTGCGTAGCCCTTACGGTATGTCTTAAGCTATGTTCACACAAACCTGCCTAACCGTATAAACGTATGCATGAAGAAAATTATCCATTCACATTAGGGTATATCCACACAAACTTGCATAGCTGCATAAACATATGCATAAAGAAAATTATGCAATCACATTTTACGTACGTCTTTATAAGAGAAACGCGATTGGATAATTTTCTTTATGCATATGTTTATGTAGTTATGCAAATTGTGTGGATTAGAGTCCTAGATATCAGAGAAGCGCAACCGATGTTCCGCGTCCTGATTGGCGTGACTGTCAGCCAATCATGACATTCATTCATTGGTATTAAAAATGGCTGACTAATAGACGATTGGTGGATTTCATAGTTTGTATGCAAACGACGCCATTTTTAATACATTTTTTAGTAATTTTGCGATACTGGCTTAAGCCGGTTGCGCTCCTCTGATATCTATGACTCTAGTGTGGATATACTCTTATACGTGCTTCTCTATAAGGGAAATGCGATTGGATAATTTTCTTTATACATACGTTTATGCAGCTATGCAACTTTGTGTGGATATAGCTTTACTCCGGATCTATAATACGTGTTTTAAGCCTTAAGCTGTAAAAAATTAATCAATTACAGTCGAATTCGAGAAGAATAATCGACTATGATTCGTCCATTCCTCATAGCGCTTAAGGCTTAAAACTCTATTGTAGATCCGGGCTTACGGTTACTGTTAGAACCAGAGCAAAGTAGAGGACAGGAAGTAAGATATAAGGAGACTCCACTCCGTAAAATAAAAGTAGATCTATTTTAGGTTTCGAGTTCAGTTTCCGATTCTCGACACTCGCGCTCATGAATTTAGTCGTGTTGCGCAAAATAAATGCGAGTAATGCCAGCTGCACACCAGTGCGATATCCGTCGCGCGCGACACGCGATATCCAATGAGCATCTAGCTTTAGAATGAGAACATCGGTAAAGCTGTACGCTTATTGGGTGTGTAGCTGGCATAAGAGAAATGAGTAAGAGTAAGTGTCACGAACGTAATCTATCTCTCTTTGTTCCTTTCCTCCTACCGTTTCTAACTACGGCGCACTCATTACACATAGCCACGGAGTATTAAGAAGGAGTAAAATCTCCATAGACTGATCGCCTGAAAAGTGTCCCCGTTTCGATTGTCAATATGGCGTCAGAGACAACTCATACTTTCCTGTTAAAGACGTCAGCGTCTGCGTATTACTCGCCTTGCAGCAAATTGTCGAAAATGGGAAAACGCGTTTGTATGATATAGTTTTTAATTGCCGAAATGGGCTGGACTGCACCAAAAAACAAAGAATTGGGGATTAAGAATAAAAGTCTTTTTAAAGCATCTAAAGTACGTAAGAAAATAATTATTACATTTTGTAAGGTTATGTGCAACATTTATGGTTATTCTTTTTTATTATCAGGACAAAGTTTGTTGGATCGTTGGACTGCAAATTTAGGTCAGTTGAAAAGGCCACTTACTGAATATTGTTTCGTTTGTGAGGAACTTTTCAGCATCGAAGATGTTTCTCATTCAAACGATATTTTACTGAATGATGGTACAGTACATCGTACTGAAAGAATGGCTGCGTTCAGCAGAAAAAGCAGCTTTGCAACTGTTGTAAAATTCTTGAACATAATTGGCTTATACATTTAGATCTAACGAGGAAATAAGGGCAAGACCAATCATATTAAAGAATTTTACAACAGTTGCAAAGCTGCTTTCTGTGCTGAACGCAGCCAATAGTACCGAAACTAATATATCGATTTTAATCGTATTTCGTTTTTTTTTTTTTTGGTCCATTCCAGCCTATTTTGGAAATTCAAAACTGCACAAACGCATTTTATTATTTTCTACAATTTTTTAATATACACTATTCGATTAAAAAATTGTCGTCTGCTGCAAGGCGAGCAATGCGCAGATACTGACGTCACAAACCGGAAAGTGTGGGTCGTCTATGACGCCATATTGGTAATCGAAACGGGGACACTTTTAAGCCGTAATCACATTAGCGATTGTGATTGACGATTGAGGATTATTTCTCAACCAACCGAAACAAAAAATCGGTGACTGCTTTACTCTGATTGGTTGAAAAGTAATTCTCAATTGTCAATCACAATCGCTCAATCGCTAGTGTGATTACGGCTTTAGGGCGACTGTTACCAACGCCGATTAACTTAATCGACGATTAGTACATTGGAACATGGTGGAAATATACAAGGTGAACCATTCCGGTGGATACGCAGTGGATTGAGAGGAACGGGGGTATGTCAGCCAATCAAAGTTTGGGCAATTTATCTAATTCAAAATGGCCAACGGAACAGTCAGTCGCATCGTCGCATGATATAAACATTAATGCTGTAAGCCAAGATATTTTGAGTGTATGACAATTTCGATTGCATTATGCCGATGTGCTGTGTCATCAATTGTAGAAATAAGAGTGATCGCGGCAAAGAGAAAATAAATATACTTTCTTTCCCCCAAAATCCGGAACTGAGGAAGCAGTGGCTGGAAGCCTGTAAACAAACACATACTTCAAAACACGTTCAGTGTGAATATTATCGACTATAAAAAACATTATATTTCCTAAATTTTTGATTCTAATGAAGATCATTGTATTACATATAAGTTTTTAATATTACATTTACTTGGTATTCATTTTGTCTTGGAAAAGATTTTTTAATAATTATGAGAAGAAATAAAAAAGGAAGAGACTACGAAAAAGTCAAGGAACTTTTACAATCAGGGAATGTCAAAGAATTTTCTCCGTCCAAATCCGTAGACACCCTGCTTTTCCTGGAAAATGTACTATTGAATAGAACAAGATCTTTACAAGTTTCCTTATATGTAAACCTTTTTTCTCAAATGCATAAGAAGAGAAAAATAATTCAGAAAATATAATGTTATTTATAGATATATTCTTTCTTCATGTTTATTTTACTTTATGTGCTTTGTAACTCGTGCCGGACGAATTGCCCAATCTTTGATTGGTTGAGATTATCGACATATAGTACTGGACGGAGCATGCGGCGAAATCTCTTTGATCTTTCGTGTTGATGGACCTAGAAAGAGTAAGGTAAATGGACCATTTTCAAGCCCCCAAGGAAGATCGCACAAATCTTGAGAAACCCAAAGGATCAGAGACCTCCACTCAGCTCCGCAGGAGTGTACAAAATATCCTGCTCGTGCGAGAAAGCGTACATCGGTGAAACCGGAAGAACAGTCAACACACGGATGAAGAAACCCAACGGGATGACAGGCTGAAACACATCACACAATCAGCCCTGGCAGAACATAGCATCGAGACAGGACATCAAATACTATTTGACAAAACGGCAACCATTACCGCAACAACATCATATTTCCCGAGGAAGTAGAGAGAGGCTTTGGAAATACCGAAACATCCAGACAATTTAAACAGAGACTCAGGCTATAATGTAAGCAAAATGTGGAAGACCGCCCTCTCGACAGGCAAAAAAAAGTACCCCTCCCCCCACTCCTTTCCCCAACTCCTCCCTAATAGCGTCTACATAAAAAGGGAGACCCCCAGGGTAGCGGCTCAGTATCAGCGCACCCCTCGCCCTGATGAAGTGAACGGTACGGTTCACGAAACGTTGGCATTAACAATGAAGAAAGACACGGTGATAACCCGCAAACCTTCTGGTATAATTGAAGAAAATACCCGTGAAAGCCTTAAAAGCGTAATCAGTAAGGTAAATGTTTGGGCACAGAATACTCTTTCTACTATTATCCTATTGGTCGAATTGTGTTGCAGGAGAGGGAGGACAATAATGTATTCTTTAAAATCAGGAGCCATTACAGAGGTATTATTATGCAGCAATACTACTGCAGTGCAGATTAAAATCGGAAAATTATATTTATATACATTATATTAGATACAAAATAAAATTGAGTAATATGAGTAAATCAATATAAATGAGTAATCAATATAAATTATGGTATATTGATATTCAGAAATTATACGTACATAATTATAATATACATATGTATATTTTGGCACTTTTACACTTTCACATAAAAATATAATTTTTTTCAAAAGTTGATATGCTTATAAATCAATTGTCTAAATTAATAATACATAATATTCCATACAATTAGTTATTTGAAAGAAAACAAGACATAAGGATAAAAAATGTTTAGATTTGTTTGTACAATATTTACTAATATTTTTTAATATTTAATATTCTTAGCCAGAATCGAATTTTCAAGGTCATATTTAAAACATCACTATTTTTTTATAATATATTTTTAATTGTAATATATACATATTTTTTAAACAGCTTTTTTTATAGTATTTAAAAATCGATCTTTTATAAATTAATTTTATAATTATTCTCCAAAATCTTGTAACTTTCGCAACTTTTCTAAAAAATTTTTGTTTACAACAAGATAAAAAAGAGGAATTAAAAGCCATATTCAAAATGGGATACCCTGTATAATTAAGTAAAATAATATAAAACATTTACTTTATGATTTATAGTTGAATTTTATCATATAAATTGTTATTTAGTATTCAAATAATAAAAATATACACAATTATATAATGCCTCAGGGCCCTTGATTACATGATTCACTACTACCTAAACATCGTTCTATCTCTTTCTAGGTCTGTCAACATGATTTTGATGCTATACTTCGTCCAGTACTATATGTCGATGGTTGAGATCTCAGGTCTCCGCCATTATGCGCAATGGTTCACCTTGTATATTTCCATCATGCATTGGAATTGACCAATCGCATTTATCATTTAGTTTTGACGACAGACGCAATTGGTCAATTTTTTGCGCCTGCAACAAGCGTGTCGCCATGGACATATAATATATGGACCGAGCATCCCCACCACATGCCTATAGAATAGACAAGGAAACCGTGATATCAGGGTATAAAGTGAGACAGCTCTCCATACTAACCTACATGCTCTGCTGCCATAGGTCCATAAGCAGCGCATGTAAATTAGTTAGGTTAGTATGGAGAGGGAAAGTACGTGCGAATCATGTTGTCTCACTTTATATCCTGGCATCATGGTTTCCTTGTCTATGCTCGGTCCATATATTATAGGTCCATGAGTGTCGCATGAGCTCAGCCAATGACAACACGACAAATTTGTCCGTTGAATTTGTATCATTCCAATGGACTAATCGTCGATTAAGTTAATCGGCGTTTAATCGGCGTTGGAAACAGTCGCCCTTAAGGGGAGGCACTGATGAGATCTCAGCTATATTAAATTGCAATTCGAACAAAATTACTATAAGCCGCATTTTTCTTCGTAAATTAAGTACCGTAGTCGAAAAAATTAAAAAAAAATTTCTTGACCGACTTAGAATTTTTTATTTTTTATGTAACCCACGTATCGATAAATCAATGCGTAATTTTGTTTGAAATCGTAAAAAAAGCATACAAAAAAATTTGGATTACAATTGATCCAAAATTGAAGGAGAAGATACGTTTTTTAGACGTTTTATGATCTATTTTTAATAAAATCAACCACTTTCTGGCGCTAACAACTGCTTATTGTATAAAAAATTCCAAATTAATGTTCATTAAGACGTAAAAAATATATTATCCAATTTGTTTTTCTTAAAAAAAAAATTTTTTTATTTTTTTTCAATTTTTTTATAATTTTTTAGTTTTTACATTGTTTTTACATGTTGAAAATATCTTTCCTAATATGCTATTTTACGCGTCGATAAACATTAATTTAGAATATGTTATACAATAAACAGTTGTTAGCCCCAAAAAGTGGTTGATTTTATTAAAAATCGATCATAAAACGCCCAAGAAACGTATCTTCTCCTTCAATTTTGGATCAATTCTAATCCAAATTTTTTTGTATTCTTTTTTTACGATTTCAAACAAAATTACGCATGGATTTATCGATACGTGGGTTACATTAAAAATAAAAAATTCTAAGTCGGTCAAGGAATTTTTTTTTAATTTTTTCAACTACGGCACTTAATTTACGAAGAAAAATGAGGCTTATAGCAATTGTGTTCAAATTTTTTTAATTGCAATTTAATATAGCTGAAATCTCACCAGTGCCTTTCTTAAGAAGCGGAGATTTTACTCCTTCTTAGTACTCCGTGCGCACAGCACGACTAAATTCACGAGCGCTGCGAGTGTCGAGAATAGGAAACTAAACTCGAAAACTAAAATGGGTCCATGTTTTGTAGACTGGCAAAACTGAGTGGTCTCCTTATATCTTCCTTCATGGTAGAGGAACAGGAATAAAGCCTATCGCACATGAAATGCATAATAGAGCATAAGGGTCTACGCACAATAGGAGAAATATTAGGCACAGATATTAAATATAAGAATTTTAACCTATCAGAAAGCGCACATTCCACAGTACACAATTCTGATAGGTTAAAATTCTTATATTTAATATCTGTTCCTAATATTTCTCCTATTGTGCGCAGCTCTAAGCATAACATAATACCGCTGGACCAATGAGCATCCAGCATAAAGTCGTCATATGATTAAATAAGATGCTCATAGATCCAACGGCATTATGTTAAGCCTCGTCTACAATAGTCGCGCAGACTGTGTCACATGTATGAAATGTCGCAAAAGTGTCGCATCTAATCGCAGGATTGTCGCAATCGCAAGAGCTCTTGTTGTATGGAGTTGAGCCAACTTCAACTTTTTGCGCCTGCAACAAGTGTGTCGCATGAGCTCAGCCAATGACAACACGACAAATTTATCGGTTGAATTGGTATCATCCCTAATAGCACAAAGTCGTCTCTGAGTCGACTTATGCTGCTAGACGTCTGAAAATAGACGTTCGTATGTTGACTTTAGACAACTTAGAGACGTCTCCAAGTCATACAATGTCCCACTTTGAAGACGACTGTAAGTCAACTTTAAGTCAACCATCATGCGGACATATACGTGCGACTTTCTGACAAGTTGACTTAAAGTTGACTTAAGTCGACTATTTTACAAATGTCTACTTCTAGATGTCCTAAAGTCGACATTTGAGGGACATCTATAGACGTCTGAATAAAGTCGACTTAAGCCGTAATCACACTACGGGTTGCGCTCTCTGTTGCGATTGAGATTACGGTTGTATGTTGGAAACTAACCAATCAGAGCAGAGCAGAGCATTAGTAAAAAAATTTTACTGATTCCTCTGTGACAAATGACAACTCGGATCCTGGATCTAAAAGTGCACGGACAGACTCGAAATTATTGTCATAAGCCCTAATTTTAACCTGACACGTTGCAGGAAATGCAGTTACAAACATCACACTACCTTGCATGACGATCGTAAATCACCTTTAAAATCTGTGAATAAAACTGATTCGGACACTTCAACTATTAACGCACCGTCGTCGTCTGCTTCTAATTCAGAACAGAAATGACCAGAAACATCTTTTGTTGGTCATACAGTACGCGTCATCAATCAACGACCGCTTACATTACTCGCAACGTGTCAGGTTAAAATTAGGGCTTATGACAATAATTTCGAGTCTTTCCGTGCACTTTTAGATCCAGGATCCGAGTTGTCATTTGTCACAGAGGAATTAGTAAAATTTTTAAGATTACCTCGAAAATCTGCAACGATTCCGTTACTTGGCATTGGCGGAACTTATTCAGGACGCACTAAAGGCTCTGTTTATATTGAACTTCACTCTTCTATTAATGATTCCGATAGTTACACTTTACACGCATACATTCTCCCACGATTGACCTTTCAGATACCATCATATGAAGTAAATAGCGATTCTTGGTCGCACCTTAATAACTTACAATTTGCAGATCCTAATTTTGGTAAACCCGGACCAATTCACGTCATTATAGGTGCAGATTGTTATGGCCAGATTATTAAACTTGGAATAATTAAAAATGATTCATCCTCACTCATTGCTCAATTAACTCTTTTCGGATGGGTGGTTTCCGGACCGGTTGCTGTTAATTCTCATGATAACGAAAGTCGCATTTATCATTGCAGCATTGATCGTGACTTACAAGATCTTTTGACTTATTTCTGGAAACAAGAAGAAGTCTCAAATACAATCACAGAACCTTTAAGTCCTGCTGATGCTGATTGCGAACAGTATTTTCTTTCTTCTCATTCACGAGATCAAAGCGGACGATATATAGTTCGGCTTCCACTTAAGGCCCCAGCGACTCTTTTGGGAGACTCATCTTCCACAGCACTTCAATGCTTACATCGACTTCGTAAAAGGTTTGAAACCCAACCTTCCTTTTGCGAATTATACACAAATTTCTTACAGCAATATCAATCGCTAGGCCATATGGTTCCAGTTTCAGAACCCGAAGTTAACAATTCTTCTATTTTTTATTTACCCCATCATGGTGTATTCCGCGAAAGTAGCCGGACAACCAAGCTACGAGTTGTATTTAACGGTTCGAGTCCTTCAAAAGGTGGCGTGCCATTAAATGACATTTTGCATGCTGGAGCCAAATTACAAACAAATATCTTTGATGTTTTACTCTGGTTCAGATCACATCGATTTGTCTTTTCATCTGATATAACTAAAATGTATCGTCAGATATTAGTTCATCCAAGCGATCGAAATTTACAACGCATTTTTTGGTACGATTCAAATGGACAAATATGTCCATATCAGTTAACCACAGTAACTTATGGGCTAAATTGTGCTCGCTTTCTCGCTCTCCGTGTACTTCAACAGCTCATTACAGATGAAGGACATCGATTTCCCAAAGCGATATCATCGTTAACAAAAGGGAGATATGTCGATGACATTTTTGGTGGTGCGGAATCCATAGAAGAAGCCCAAGAAATAATATCCCAAGTATGTCAACTTTGCATGGCGGACAAACTTCCTTTGCAAAAATGGAGTAGCAATTCTCAAATTTTGTTAAATTATTTATCGCTTTCGCCGACTGACAACACGCCTACTGTGGAGCTAGATTCATCCCGTATTAAGGTATTAGGTCTTTGTTGGCAACCACAAACTGACGTATTCAAATTTATTTCAGTACCGTCTTCAAGTCAAGTTTTGACAAAGAGAATAGTCTTATCAGAAATAGCGCAAATATACGATCCGTTAGGTCTTATTGCACCCGTTGTTGTCCGCGCAAAAATTTTCATTCAAGATCTATGGTCAGCTAATGTAGATTGAGATACTCTCTTATCTTTAGAATTTCAAAATCAATGGGCTAGTTTTAAGAAGCAATTATTAGCGTTAAGTAACTTAAACATTCCTCGTTGGCTTTATATAACCTCAACTGCGCATTCCATCGAATTGCATGGATTTTCTGATGCCTCTCAACTCGCGATAGCGGCTGTAGTTTACATTAGAACTGAAACGCAGGAACGCGGAGTTCAAGTTAATATTATCTGTGCAAAAACTAAGGTAGCGCCATTAAAGAAACTTACCATACCTAGACTCGAATTAAACGCTGCACTAATGTTATCACGTCTTGTATATAATGTACAGAATGTGTTAGATTTGAAAGAAAGACAAATTTTCCTTTGGACGGACTCATCCGTCGCCCTTACATGGATTTCGTCCCATCCAGCAAAATGGAAGGATTACGTACGCAACAGAGTTGTCGCCATACAAGAAATTCTACCCTCTGCCTCATGGCGTTTCGTTCCTGGTAAAGACAATCCTGCTGATTGTGCATCAAGGGGATTGAGCGTACACGAAATCGAGCATCATTCTTTATGGTGGCTCGGGCCATCTTGGTTAAATAAAGCGCCTGTCCATTGGCTTAATTGGAGTCCTATTTCCCCAACCAATACCGATCTGGAGAAAAGCACGAAGCACGCGCTAGCAACGGTACAAGACATCCAGATGCCCCCTTGGGAACTCTTAACAAAATTCTCTTGCTTATCAAAACTCATCCAAGTTACCGCTACTTGCAAACGCGCCGTTAAACGTTTTCGAAGATTATCAATAGAGTCGACTACCGGACACCTTACCCCAACCGAGCTTCAAGAGAGTAGTCAGTTCTGGATACGTCAAGTTCAACAATCCTATTTTTTACATGATCTCAAAATTATAGCGAGAGGAGGACGATTGTCCAAGTCAAACCCTCTAATAAAACTAACTCCATTTTTAGACGATACTGGCCTTATGAGAGTGGGCGGACGGCTTCAACATGCGAATCTGGATCCAGATGTTAAACACCCGCTTATCCTACCCAAACATTATCATCTCATAACCCTAATAATCGCTGACGCTCACTTGCAAACATTACATGGCGGAACTCAAGTGACACTAGCTTACACTCGTCAGAAGTACTGGATCATAGGTGGACGAACTCCAGTCCGATCTTACATTTTGAAATGTGTAAAATGTGCTAGATATCGCCAAAATCGAGCCCAGCAATTAATGGGTCAGCTTCCGGAATCCAGAGTTACTCCATCCCGCCCCTTCTTAAATTCCGGAGTTGACTATGCAGGACCTATAATGATCAAGACATGGCGAGAACGGGCGGCGAAAACTTATAAAGGATATTTGGCGATCTTTGTCTGTTTTTCTACTTCTGCCGTACACATAGAAGTCGTCACCGACTACACTACCGAAGCCTTTATTTCAGCGAACAAGAGATTCACAGCTCGTCGTGGTATTTGTGCGACGCTACATAGCGACTGCGGCACTAATCTAATTGGTGCTGATAACGAACTAAGACGACGTTTTGATGCAGCTTCAAAGGAGTTAAAAGAATTAGCGACAATACTTGCCAATCATGGAACTGATTGGCGCTTCAATCCTCCGACCTCATTTTGGAGGAAAGTGGGAAGCGGCAGTTAAATCGACAAAATTTCATCTACGCCGAGTCGTCGGAGATACGAAACTCACCTACGAAGAATTAACAACACTCACGACTCAAATCGAAGCAGTCCTTAACTCTAGACCTCTTTGCCCGTTGTCGGAAGACATAGACGATTATGTAGCCTTAACCCCAGGACATTTTATTTTAGGAGAAGCTTCAACCGTTATCCCGGAGCCTAATCTTATTAATCAGCCAAGTTCTCGTCTCACTAGATGGCAACTCATTCGGCAAAAGGTAGAACATTTCTGGAAGCGATGGACAACTGAATGCCTTCAACGTTACCAAGCCATATCAAAATGGCATCATCCATCTTTGGAAATTAAAAGGGGATCCTTGGTTCTCGTCGTTGACGAACGATATCCACCAGCAAAATGGCCGTTAGCGCGAATTCGTCAACTGATTCCTGGTAAGGATGGTTTAACGAGAGTCGTCATAGTACGAACGGCCACTGCAACCTTCAAGCGACCTGTTACCAAAATTTGCGTTCTATCCATCAATCAAGCTGAAGGAATATTCGAGAACTCCGTTCCCGAAGGCGGGCGGAATGTTCGGGCAAATAAAAAGTAAAGTTGACTAATTTTAAAAACAGCGTGCGCTGCGGGCGGTTACACGCATATTTCACGCATCGACGTAGCGCAGGTCGAGAGCGCAATCAGTTTGGCGGCGCCATTCCTTTTTTTCGTCTCCTTGACGACCAAATAACTATTATTTTTTTCCTCTCTTCTGGAGCGATTAGATTTTGATTCACAAGGAGAAGGAATTAATCGAATTATCATATTGGAGATTATTTTATCTTGACTTCTTGTTTCTCCGAGCTTCCTTACGCTTCGATATCACAAATCAGGTAAAGATTCTTGCTCCTATTTTGATTATTGCTTAATTCTGTATTACATTCAATTACTCTGATTTGCCTGACGAAAAAAGTAACCTAACCTAACCACACGAGTATTTCTAAGCAGATACTCATATTCTGTCTCGTTTGCCTGATGAACGGTCTCAGGCGGTGATTCGCTAACACCAAATAAAAGTGGCGCCTGATGAACGGCTCAGGCGGTGCCTTTGCGCACATCAATAATTTTGGGGCCTGATGATTGGCTCAGGCCTCGAGCGACTCAAGTCCTCCCATAAATTTAATTTTATTGTTTAATGTTAATTAATGCAATCATTTGATAAATAATTCGATGTTACAACGTGGCTTTTTTAAAAACTACTCTCTTTTCTTTATTATTATATAATTTCACAAACAATGTTATTAAATGTTATTGTTAAACGCATTAAAAAATGTTTTTTAAAAGATTCTCTTTCGAATGTCCTTCTTGGCGCGCCCTCGTATCACAAAACCCTTCTATTTCAATCTTTACACGAACATTTACTAATTCCTCTGTGACAAATGACAACTCGGATCCTGGATCTAAAAGTGCACGGAAAGACTCGAAATTATTGTCATAAGCCCTAATTTTAACCTGACACGTTGCGAGTAATGTAAGCGGTCGTTGATTGATGACGCGTACTGTATGACCAACAAAAGATGTTTCTGGTCATTTCTGTTCTGAATTAGAAGCAGACGACGACGGTGCGTTAATAGTTGAAGTGTCCGAATCAGTTTTATTCACAGATTTTAAATGTGATTTACGATCGTCATGCAAGGTAGTGTGATGTTTGTAACTGCATTTCCTGCAACGACGAGAACTTGGACAGCGATTAGCGGCATGACTTCCTAAGCAGTTGAAACATAAATTTAATTTGAGGACAGTGCGTTTACGTCGTTCGAGAGGTTGCGACAAATAAGTTGGGCAATTAAATAAGTAATGAGCGGACTTACACAACCGGCATTCTACTCCACCTTTTGTTGTTGGAGCTGTAGCAATCATGCTACGAGATTTTGTATCGGATTTGTTAGTTGGCCAAGATGAACGTCCTTTATCTTTAACAGGTTTGATCGACGAACCTAAGCTCTCCCAAGCTCTAGTGTGACCAATTACGAATTCCTCAAATTCTTTTAAGGTGGGATACGATGTGGATGGTCCTAGCTTCACTTCCCAAGCTTCACGAGTATCTTCATCTAATAAACGAGATAACTGATGCACTAAAAGAGGATCCCACGCGCTAGTGAGACAATTCAAAGCCTCCAAGGCTCCTAACGATTCAGTGACAGTAGCGATCATTGTATTTAGCTCTTGCGCTGATTTTGATTTTATGGGCTTCAAGCTAAGTAATCTATCTAATTGAGCGGAAATTAATACGCGCTTGTTTTCATAACGGGAGACTAAGTTTTTCCAGGCAATTGAAAATGTGTTTTCAGTAACTTTAAGGTTGATTACGAGCCGAGCAGCGTCGCCTTTAAGACACGTTTTCAAATAATGCATTTTCTCTACGTTTGTAAGATCATCGTTCTCGCCTACCATGGACGCGAATAAATCATGAAATGATCTCCAGGCATGATAATCGCCTGAGAACGCAGGTAAACTAATTTTCGGTAAATTACGACGGCTACTAACACGAATTTCCGGCACCAGAGCATCGGATAAACATGATGAAGGATTAGAAGTCTCTATGGTTTCTCGTTGTTCAAGTAAAACAGCTTTCGCATGAACATAAAATTCCTGACATCTTTCATAAATACGATGTTTTATGTAAGACTCTTCTTCGATTACTTCAGAATGCGCTTGACACATTTTTTCGTGTTAACATACAACCGTAATCTCAATCGCAACAGAGCGCGCAATTCGTAGTGTGATTACGGCTTAGGGTGCCGTCACATACAGCTTGCAATCCGTAATCCGCACCGGATTTCCGCAAAAGTTACTGGAGATTGCGTCCGTAACGTTACGTGTATTTTATCTCCTTATGTTCCATGGAGCCGTAATTCCGGAAAAGTTACCAGTTTTTACTAGTAACTAACCTTTTTACTAGTAACTAACCCTACTAACCTTTGCGGACATTCGGCGTGGATTACGGATTGCGGGCTGTATGTGACGGCACCCTTACGGTCGACTCCAAAGGGCCTGACTTAACAAAGTCGACTTGTAGTTGACATATAGACATTTGTGCTGTTAGATAAGGAATAAGGAATAAGAAACTTTAGTCTATCAAAAACTATGTATACCAATGTGTCCGATTTCTGATAGGTTAAGATTTCTTATTCCTAATTCCTTATTCCTTCTATTGTGGCCGTACCTTTATGCATTTCATGTGTGATAGGCTGAAAGCTATATCCACACAGCTTGCATAACCACATATACGTATGCATAAAGAAAATTACCCAATCACATTTTACATGCATCTCTATAAGGGAATTGTGATTGGATAATTATTTTTATGTATGCGTTTATGCAGCTACGCAAGTTTATGTGGATATAGCTTAAAGGCCGCAGCACATACTTTTGCATAACGCATAAAGCATGTGCATAAGGAATTTCATTGGCCCATTTTCTTATGCATGAGTCAATGGACCAATAAAATTCTTTATGTATATGGTTTATGCGTTATGCAAAAGTATGTGCTGCGGCCTTAAGAGCCCAGACACAAGCTTTTGCATAACGCATAATGGTTTCTGCACACTGGATGCGGAAAAGCTTACCGCGCGGTAAAATGTGCGCGTTAGCCAATAAGCTTACAGCTCATAACATGTTCATTGGTTATCGCTTCGCATTTTGCCGCGCGGCAAGCGTTTCCGTGTTCAGTGTGCAGGAGCCATAACGCATATCAAAATGCTTCTCTTTCCTGAAGTGGGAGAAAAAGAAGAGTTGGTTGATTCTTTTGTGCACTATGCATTATGCGTTATGCAAGAGTCTGTGCTGAGGCCTTTAACCATAAGACATACCGTAAGAATTAGCCAATCAGAATTAAGGGTTCAAAAGAATTCACGACTCTAAATGTATACACAGACTATTCGAAAAGCATGGAACCCCCTATGATCTCCAAAAGTATACACACTATCAAAGAAAGTGACCCGAATAAAAGTTGCAGAGGTTAAAAAGATCTATTTACTGATATTAGTATCGTTTGTTTTGTCTCTCGAGAGCTGCTCAGAGTCGCTCCGAACGAACCTAGCATACTTGGATGCAGTCTATTTAATGTTGTAGATACCTCAAAACATACTTTGATTGATCAATTCGTAAAATTTTTTCTTCTGATTGTTTAACGAAGCATTTGCAGTATTAAATGGATCACATCCAAGTACGCTGGGTTTATTCAGAGCGACTCCGAGCAGCTCCCGAGAGACAAAACGGACAATACTGTCTGTTGACCTTAGGTGACGTCGTCAAGATTAGATCAAGGTCATATCGATTTTTTAAATAGAACATCTCGTTTTTAATTCCATATTCTTATAGCACATCTAGAGGGCTTTCCAAAACACTATAATAAAGTATTTTTTCATAAAGTATTGTACTTTTTGAGTTATAATGCTTGAAAGTAATAATGGATCACATCGGCGGCATTAGCATTCCCCGAAGTGGCCAAACAATGGTAAAAACCTCTTGAATGTTGTTTAGGATTATGACTTGTATAATATTTGTTAAGATCAAGGCCATTATGCCTGGTTTATGCTTCAGGCCTTAATCCCAAGATCCTAAAATTCAACCAATAAAGCTGCCAGTTCTAACTGAAATTTGAACTCTATTGGCTGAATTTTAGGATTAAGTCCTTAAGACCGAAGCATAAACCAGCCATTAGAGGGTGTACCGCTTATTTTCATTTCTACATGGAAATAGTTCACAAAAATAGATGACATTCTAAGAATGGATTTGAACACGGGGACAATCCGCGAAACGCATAATTATTGCATACAAAGACCTACATTGTGATAGCTTGACGTATATATCACATTTCTTCTTTGATAAAATATATTAATACGTATGTGCAAAGAATTTTCTATAGATTGGTTAGTTTAGCGACAGGACAAATGTACTTACATACAAACACATTCTACCAATTGACTATCATGGCGACTTGCCGCATGTATATAAAGAATTTTCTAAAATCTGGAAACGGTCATATTTTATTACATACAAAGATATACATTGATATCCTGACGTATACATCACACTTCTTTTTTTAGATAAAATATGCCAATTCGTATATGTAAAGAATTTTCTATAGATTGGTTAGTTCAACGACAGGGCCAAATGTACGTACAAATGTATTCTATAAATTGACTATTATGGCGACTGTCGCCATAACAGTCAATTTATAGAATACATTTGTACGTACATTTGGCACTGTCGTTGAACTAACCAATCTATAGAAAATTCTTTACATATACGAATTGGCATATTTTATCTAAAAAAAGAAGTGTGATGTATACGTCAGGATATCAATGTATATCTTTGTATGCAATAAAACATGATGGTTTGGAAATGTCGTCAAAATAGTCAATTGACAAACATATATGTATATATATATATATATTGTGACGTGACATTTTGTCAGTCACCCAGAAAAACGGCATAACGCGAGATCCTGGATAGGGTGGTCCTTAAAAAATAAATTCTTCTCGGAATCCCTAAATCGGCTTCAAATAATTCAAAACGAAACCCTGAATTTTTTCAGATTTTTATTTTCGCTTTTTCCCGCGCCCTAAGAGCCCTCACATTTACTATTTTTTTTTACTATTTTTCGCATCTTTTAAAATTTTTTGACTGGCACTTTTTATACAATCAATCTAAAAATATACCAAGTGTAATATCTTTTTTTGTATGCTTTCCAAGTGCAAAAACTCCAGAATCAACAAAAATGATCGATATGTGATCGAATAATTCCATTTAGAACATTCATAATTAATTACACAAAAAAATAAGAAGAGCTCCAAATATCTCAATTAAATTAAAATGTTTCTGTTAGAATGCATTTTAACGCTACGTAGGATAGAATTTCGAATTCCTTATAATCCTTCTATTAAAATGACCCCCTTATAAGTTAAAAACGATAAATTTTTAGCCGAGTTGCCGGTTTTGTAATGGAAAAACTTTTTTCAACAAAAATCAGGTAAAGAAAAAAAATTTGATTTATGCTCTATAACTCGTTAGGAAATAATCTGGCAATTTTACATTTAAGATGAATGTATTCTCTACCATTTTTTTTTGTTGCTTCGAAAAGGTCTACTTATTGATCTAGAAAAAAAATTCTTACCTAAAAACTATCAGTAGAATTGCGCTCATCTTTGCATGCATGAAATCTACGCTATTCCATGTTTATTACTTTAAGCATGACTTTTTTATTATCTTTCATTTTTATATTTAAATTCTAGTAACTTTTATTGATAGAATTTATGGATGCTCCGTGTCACTAAAGTATAAATATTACGCAACTTGTTCCTTCTGAAGTCAGAAACTTTTTCTGTACAATTCAGAAGTGTTACGTTAAAATTCAACTCTTAAAATTTTTCTTTAATGATGGTAAAATTTTTTAAAAAATTTATTACGAGTTTTTTGGATTGCTTTTTGATTTTTTGACAAAAATGAGGGCCAAACTCGAGAGATTCAATGCGCCAGGAAGTCTAATAACTTTTATTATAAATTTCTCAACATTATGAACAATTATTATCTGCAATAAAATAATATTTTATTATAACAAATATAATAAATAAAATTCCCGATTTAACGTTATTTTGCGATCTGCAACATTTCATGGAATTTTATTCTTCCAGACTTCATGCATGCAAAGATGAGCGAAATTCTATTGATCGTTTTTAGGTAAGAGTTTTTGTTTATAGATCAATAAGTAGACCTTTTCAAAGCTAAAATGATAGAGAATACAATCAGCTTAAATGCAAAATTGTCAGATTATTTCCTGACGAGTTATAGAGCAAAAACCAAATTTCTTTTTCTTTACCTGATTTTTGTAGGAAGAAGTTTTTCCATTACAAAAGCGGTATCTCGGCTATAAATTTATTGTTTTTAACTTATAAGGGAGTCATACAGGGGGAATTCAAAATTCTATCCTAGGTAACTTTAAAATGCATTCTAACAGCGATTTTTCAATTTAATTGAGATATTTTGAGCTTTTCTTATTTTTTTGCGTAATTAATTTTCAGTTCTAAATGGAATTATTCGATCAGATATTTATCATTTTGGTTGATTCTGGAGTTTTTGCACTTGGAAAGCATACAAAAAAAGATATTACACTTGGTATATTTTTAGATTGATTGTATAAAAAATGCCAGTCAAAAAATATCTGCCCGTTCTTGTAAAAGCGCGGGATGTTAAATAATAATATATAGATATGAGACAATAAAGGCTAATTAGTTGTTTCTATATTAAAGCGTATGATATTTGTTTTATTTTTATGTATAGTGTATATGAGTCATTCCATGCCAAGTGGGCCACTCAAAATTTTTGGATTTTTGATTTGGCTGAAATTTTGATATATTATAGTACCCATCGCAAGAAGCTACCATAATTTTTTTCAAATTTTTTTATCAACATAGTCATGAGATATGAATTTTTTCAAAATTCGCAATTTTCAAATGCCTATAACTTTGCGAAAAATAATCCAAACAAAACGTTTTTTTTCTAAATTATGTGTTTTTTCTCTAGTTTTCAAAAAAAATATCAAGAAAAGTTTCAAAATTGTTTTTTATTTTTTTTTGTAATTTAATGTAAAAAATTATTAATTTTCTAAAGTATGACACTTTTAATTTTTTTTAAAAAATTCTCATAAAAACTTAGATTTA